CGAAGCAGGTGACACTCTCGTTGGGGCCCTGGGTTCTGGTTCGCAGTAGGTCCTCGGCTCTCTCTCGGCGGTGGTGGTTGATGAATGTAGCCTTGAGATCGGTCTTCAAAATGTCCCACGACGTCAGGGAGGACTCATGATTCTCGTACCAGTGCTTGGCGGTCCCCTCAAGCGATAAATAGACATTGTGCAGGCGCTGCTTGTCGGTCCAGCAATTGTGGCGGGCAACGCGTTCATACTGGTCAATCCAGTGTTCGACGTCTTCGTACTGCTAGCCGTAGAATGTAGCAGCCGTCCGCGGTACGACGGGCAGGTAAACGACGGCAGGAGCGGCCGGGGTCTCCGACTGGTTGGCCATCGTCGTCCTCCTTCTTTGCTTGGTCTTGGTTGGCAGCAGTCCGTATTCCGGGTCTAGGCCCTGGATGCGGCGACTTACTCGGGTCTCGGTGGTATCTTCGTTGGGTCCACGGGAGCTTGGGTTCGGACTCGCACTGTGGGAACTCGGAGGGGTGCGCTGCACGGACATGCGGTACCCGCACCTCCACCAGAATGTCACGGCTGGTGACTAGAATAACAATAAATAAACAGGAAGAAATAAACGTTTAATGTGGCGAACTTGTGCCAAAAAATAAAATGATACAAAAGATAATAACAGAGCGTCGCGGGCGTCGAAGTCGGCGTTGCAGCAGAGTCGAACGCTGGGGCGAAACTGACCCCGCTCGCCTTGCGGAATCCCTTATGTACCCTCGTGGGTTTCTGGATCGTTCGGCGTAGAAGGTTCGGCGCGTAGAACATTCTAACCTTGAATCAGCAAGATGGTTCTCGACTTCACCAGAACGTCACATTACAGTGTCAACAAAAATGTGTAGCCGCGTCCAGGAATCGAACTCTGGCCTTCTGCGTGGAAGGCAAGCGCGATAACCGTTAGGCCACGCGCGCGCTGCCTACTTGGCCAGTTGCGCGCGCGGCAGTATGTTCAAGGTGTGAGTCGTTTCTTCCTCGTACTCAATTACAGACTGCTATTCGTTTTCGAGATCTCTATCAGCAATGAAGGGCTCAAGCTCGGTGTTCAGCTTCTTGAGTTATTTATAATTTACGTCAAGCTTTCTTGCTATGGCCCTGATTTGAATTACATCCGCTGTGTTGAGAATAGCGGTGGCTTCTCTGATAATTCGGGTGTTTTGTGCTCTGCGAGCAGTCCTTTTCGTTCGCACTCTTTCCATGTTCGGATAAACTGAGAGGTTGGTAAGCTTCGGTTAATAGAGTTGCTTACTTGTTACGATGTCGATCTAAATTTCGTTCAAGGTTAGTCCATGGTGTCCACTCGTTCACTCTTGAGCAACTGACTTCGTTTCGTTGAGGGTCGTTCCTGGCTTGAGTTCCCGGGTTTCGGCACCATTTAGTTGTTGCGTTAATTGAACGTCAAAGACTTACGGTAAGAAACAGAATGGATTTACTATTTACGTGACGAAGTTAACCTTATGGGTATCGGTTACCGCAGTCGTTCCGTACATCTTCTTTTCGATTTGCATTGAGCCAAAGCGTTTCTCCGTCTTCCTCGTTTTCGTTAACCGCATATTTACACGACCACTGTGCGGCTGAAAATCACAATTCACAACAGGCTCTTTGATGCTCTGTGCTACCATATCTTTGCGGTCCAAATCTGCCACCGGGCACTCTATGGCTCCGTCGTCGAACTGCAAGGCTTTGTTAGTAAAGACAAGGCTATGGTTTTCTCCACGTGAATGGTTTGATACTTTTGTTAAGCTCATAGATATCAGAAAACAAAACATTCGTTTCACCAGAAAAAAAAAAACACAGGTTTGAAAGCAATGCTCTGCTCTAAATGGGAATAAAAATGTTGTATCGCACTATATTAAATTTTTTATTACGCCAGGAAGCCGTTTTGATCGTTTCACATGTGATATACGTTAGTAATGTAAGTTTGCTTAAAATTATTTAATATAGTGGGAGCCACAGGCTTTCCTTCCCCGAGAAGGCGTAGGCCGCGGACGTTCCGGCCGGAGTCGTCTGGATTCGAGCTTGCTCGTCCCGTATCCTGTTGGGGAGAGTTCGCCAACCTACTGGCCTGCTCTCTCGCACTCTTCCGCGCGTCTCCCGTTTTCGGGGAACTAGTGACAGATCGCGTTAGCCTGTCGAGCGTTCCCTCCTTCGAGTGCACGGCCAGCTGGCGACCGGTTCTGGGTTGTACTCCGGGCGACGGGTCGAGTCCTAGCATGAGCTCATCCGACGGGCCAGGACTTAACGCTAGCGATTCCCCTGGCTCTGACTTTCGGCGTCTCCTCCTCCGAGTGGACGTCCGTCTGCGGAAAATTCTGGTTCTATCTCCTGCGACGACGGGTAGGGTTAAGCTCGGCCCGCCAGCGATGACCCCGATCGCGATCCCCTTTGGCTCTCAGGTCGGCGAGCGCTGCGGGCACCCTGCGTCCACGGCTCGCTTGACCGCAGTGTCTTGCGGGGGCCCCTGTTTCCCAACAAACGCTGTTGGATACCGGGATCATAGTTGTTGGCATGGCGTTGCCGTACCTGGCGCGGCGACCGCCCTCGCTAATAGCCGTCGGTCACGCAGTGGGACGGGTATCGGGTTCCCATTGAGTACCAGTCTCCGAACGGAAAGGTACGTAATTTTTACCAAATGGCGCCCAACGTGGGGCCTTGGCCCCTATCGTTGTCGTGGCACTGCTCCACCGCGCCGTGCCAAGATGGTGACGTCTCCTCAAGGAGGTCGGCTCCCTTTGTGAGCCACCATGATGCGAATCCCGTGGGGGCCCGGATTTGGGAACCACATTCAATAGCCAGGCAGGAATCCTGAGTGAGTCACTACTTGTTAATTTTCTTTCCGTGTCTGCCAACACCTATTGCGCTTGGCGGAGACTTCTCGCTTTGAGAACAGGTTCACACTGCTTGCCGCTTGCCTATCTTGGGGTCTATATGTATTAGTTTAGTAGGGAGGAGTAGAATGTATACGCCAAGGCAGGCCGAAGATGACGAGGAGCAACTCAGTTTTGTGCCCTCGTACTCGCTCAGCTTCAGTAGATAATCGAACCGGACTGCTGTCATTAACTGTGTACTGTACCGAACCTGACATGTAAATAGCTTCTTGCAATTAAATGTACAGTCACAATCAGAAGTAATCGGAACACGGGAGCGGTGGCCCAACTAAAGCCCCTTGATAAAAGCGTTTTTTACAAGTACTGCCAACCATTGTTGTGGAAGCGCTCGAGACACGTGCCATGGGCGGGTGCTCCGCCACCATTCGCTTCCAAGGCCCGCTCATTTCAGTGCTGCGCCGCCATTTGCTTCCAAGGGCCGCTCGAGACATGGGCCTCGTGCACTCGCGCATTTGACGCTACTTGCAAGACGAGCGCAAACACATAGAGGGGCTTTAGGCCCAACTGCATTGCAGCGCAATCTAGCCGCGCTCGTGGGAACTGATAGGAGAGTACGCACATGCGTGCATGCCGGCGCCGATGGCCCCTCTGCTCCTCTCGATCTATTCCTTTACCGGAGGTTCTAATCGTTCCTAATCGCTTCTGGGACGCAACGCTACGTCCCCGATGGCGCTGCAAGCAGACAGCGGGCACACTTTCCACTCTTGAAGGCATCTTGGTGCAGACAGAAACAGAAAGATTGCTGTCCCACCAAAATATGCTCTCTAATATCTTATCTCGACAAAAATGAAATAAAAACGCGGTTCGTTGCTTGGAACTTATGGCCTTTGTCAACTTCGCGTGTCATTTTCTGCAGCTGGCGTTGCTATCTACTCGAGAACAATATAAAGATATTTTTTTACGTAGCGATGCGCCACGCAATTAGCGTTTGCCGCGTCATTGAACCAGCACCGATCCGCTTCAGATGATTCTGATAGTACACCCGTGTCCTCAGTTCGCGCTCGCAGGGAGCGTCCTCGTAACGCTGTCGGAAGCTATCAGCGCCATCACGTGTCGTATCTGAGAAGCAGCGAATGATTATCTTGATCTCAGGTAAAAGAAATAGATAGAGGGGTGCAGAGGGACTGTCGGCGCCGGCATGAACGCATGCACTTAGTCTCCTATCAGTTTCTACGAGCGCGGATAGATCGCGTTGCAATGCAGTTGGGCCACCGCTCCCGTGTTCCAATTACTTCTGATCGTGACTGTACATAACGATATTCGTGTTAAGTGCGAAAAAAAATCCGGAGACCCACTTATTTAGAGTAGTTACGTGGTGAAGAAATGCTAAAGATAATGTTTCACATTGTAGTATATTACTTGATGCCAGACGGATGTTAGCGGGTTATAGTATATTACCTATATAAACTAATCTTCGGTGTACTCCACTGTAGAAACCCTTCTGGAGTAGTTTTAGATGCGTGCTGCAAACACTTGGAGAGACAAAAATAAATTACAGTGGCATATGCGAGAGGAGGTCAAATCCCCTCTCTCCCCCCCCCCCCCCCCCCCCTTTTCAGCAAAAAAAACCAGCTCCCGCCCCAAAACATATTTCTTCCAATGTCACTGATATAAAATTGCTAGGGTTTGTAAGAACCAATTTTAGTATGCTATTTCTTATACCTCGCTTACACGGGAACCCTTAACTGCGGTTAACTCAGCTTTAACGGCTGTTGCGCGGCACCAAAGTTACCGCACTATACTCTCGGACAGCTATTCATAAGAAGTAAAGAGCGCGCGCACAACTCTTTTATGGGTGCTCAAGATTCTCAAGCGCACTTTCGCCATAGCTTAGACTGCATAGCCGCAGAATCTTGTCCGCAAGTATTGGGCGCTAACTGTGGCTTAGCGTAACTGCAGTTAAGTATGCACGTGTAACAAGGGTTTAGACTGCTTGAGCCCAAAAGGGGTAATCGACGAATGCAAATTTATTTGTACGTCAGAACCTGCTGCGTGAGGGTGCCATATCTGAGGGGTGCCAGTTATCTGGGGGCCGAGGGAGCAGTAAACGGGTCAACTATTTAGAAACAAAAAGGTGGCAAACAATAATACCCGACACATATTTTATTAGCGAACCGAAGTAAGAAGCTGTGGGGGTTAATAGACATTCTCTATCGAACCTTATTCGATATATCCTTCTATAAGAGCACCTGGTCTTGCGGTGTCTTGCTCGATTCTACACATGTACTCAGTTTTGTTTTTCTGCCTTGGGATTTAAAGTAAGCACACTCGCACCCCAGTACAAAGGACTATACGGATAAAGATTGGGGGAGAGCTCCGAACTTTGGCCGGAATCGGATTAGCGGCTACACGCAAGGCTAGCTTCTTTGTCTCAGGTCGAACAGTGAGTAGAGACGAAGGCAGCGTTTGCGTTTACCTACATATCATTCCAACCAGAGCTCAGTGCTCTGCCGTCCCCGCACGCTCGCACCTCCTCATCTCCTTCAGTTTCTTTTCGCATACAGGTTAATTAGAATGAAATCGGCAGGCATGTTCTGGAAGACGCCTCAAGGGAAGGGCGCTTTGGCAAACTTGTTTTTGTGGCTCCGAGAGCTTCTCGCTGCTGAGCAGGCCAGTGTTAAAACCACGACGCACAGCAACCACAGGGACAAGAATGCGGCTACCGGAACCCACCAGGACGACTGGAACCAAATGCTGCTGGTATCCACTGCAAAGGGAAAAATAGCCCATGTTGGATCTTAAACAAGACGGTTTGTTTTTAGTCTTTGAATTAAAAAAAAAAACACGGTCCGTTACGTGCAAACTTTTTTATCCGCAAGCATGTTGGGACCGGAAGACGGGCGATTTCGTTTTATTTTTTGCACATAGTGCGACATCATTCGAGGTCTACTGGGAAACCGCCGCACCTAGATAATTTGGTAACCGAAGCTCGCGTATTAAGTTTGTAATTAGATACAAGTACCATATAAAACAAGTACTACGTGAGTCTCAGAAAAAGTTCGAGATGGGTTTTGTTTCGCATTAATGAACCGTACCAAGATAAATGCTCAAGCTTCACCGGAAGGCAGCGCTAACGGCGAAGGCAAGTAGCGAAACTACACGGAGAGAAATTGGAAGAGAAGGGTTGATGAGATCTACCGGTGAAATCGGAGCGCAAGCTCTGATTGGAAGGATTTGTGGATAAACCGCAAATGATAGCTGCCTTCCTCTCTACCCACTGCGTCCAAAATAAAAAGGCCCCTAAAACAAGTGTACGGCAGCGGTGCATCTGTACAGCCCCCCCCCCCCCCCCCCCTGCAAGGATGCACCGCTGCAGTACACTCGTTTTTACGGCCTTTTGTTAGGTAGCTTTAAAATAGCCCCAAAGCTTAGGATTTCCGAGCCTTTCGGGGCATCTCAACGCGCAAGGGTAGAGATGTACTCCGCATACGCCTTGCGACGTTCCAAGCTGCTCGGAGGACTCGGCGTTGGAGCCCACTATTCTAAAGGTTTCAATGATTGCTCGTTTGGTAATCGACGACTTAAGCCTGCCGTTTCACTGCAACGTAGTCAAGGGAAGCCAACAAAAGGCGACCTGAAGGCACATGTTGCCATGTGGTATGCTTGATGGCAAGTAGTACTTGCTTGCAAAATACTACTTTCAAGAGTCCATCGAGCAACATTGGCGGTCGACATTTACATTTCTTGGGCGCGAAGCGTGTGACTGGAAACGAGTCCTCGCCAAACGCTGACGCAGTACTCGTTTCCGATACGAGCAGATACGAGTTCAGTACGAACGATAACGCAAACCTCGTGTCCAGTACATGCTCAGAGAATATATGTGTTCACAAGCAATGGCGCACTCGGATAATTGACGCAGCAGTTCCTAGATAGCTCACTCGTTCGGAAAAGGCATATTTCATAAAACACTTTATATTTGCGGTTGTCAGCGTTGAGTTAGCCTTGATACCTCCAACAAGTCTGATCTTATAGGATGACTAATCATCTGAATTTATCAGCCGTTCACGTCACGTTTGTGAAAAAGCAGAAGAAAAAAAGACTCTTTCCGCAAATTCTTTACTCTTTCCAGTTTGTGGGGATAACGTTGGAGAGGAAGCAAGAGAGAACGCGAGTGCCCTCGCCTGCTCTCCAGTATCTGTTCTGCTAATGTGGAAATAGTGGGGGTGGGGGCGGGGGGGGGGGGGGGGGGAACTTTAAAGGGGTGCTTGTCTTGCTTTTTTTTTTAGCTTCCAATAGAATATAGTTGGAGAGCTCTTAGTGTTGATCCTCCTAAATAAGAAATGTAACGACATCTCCCTTTTCTTCCAAAGTGCAAACTTTTATCTTTTTTTCTTTTCTTCCTCTTTTTGCGTTTGCTTGCCGCCATGATTATCCCAGAATAGTACTAGGTGCCGTTTTTACACTCGGTTTGATCGTAATTCAGAGCACAGTCGAAGGTTAAAAGACACGCGAAACGCATACAAATTGACTAAAAACGCATTTTCACGGCATACTTTCTGGATTCGATTGGGTTAGCTGCCCAGAACACATCGGAAGGTGCTGAGAGCCTTCTCGTTGAACTACTGGCGTTTTCTGATTGGTCTGAGGGCTTAGGCTTTCCTCTCCCTCTAAAATCTCCTCCTTTTTCTTCTCCTCCGCCGCAGCACACACACTTGCTGTATTTTTTTTCTTTTTCTTTTTTTAGAGCGCAGCTCTTAGGGGCCCGTTCCCGGCTTGAGCGGCGTCGGCGTCGGCGTCGGCGTCGGCGTCGCCGTCGGCGTCGGCGTAACCGCAACTTTCGTAACCCTCGTGAGGGTTACGAGGGTTAATCTCATGAGGGTTACCCTCACGAGGATCACGAGGGCCACGAGGGTTACTTACCCTGTTACCCTCAAAAGGGTTACCTTCACGAGGGTTACCCTCCACGAGGGTTACTTACCCTCGTAACCCTCACGAGGGTTACGAGGGTTAGTTACCCTCAAAAGGGTTACCTTCACGAGGGTTACCCTCCACGAGGGTTACTTACCCTCGTAACCCTCACGAGGGTTACGAGGGTTAGTTACCCTCAAAAGGGTTACCTTCACGAAAGTTACCCTCACGAGGGTCACGAGGGTTATGAGAGTTACCCTCACGAGGGTCACGAGAGTTGCCCTCACAAGGGTTACTAGGGTTACCCTCACGAGGGTCACGATGGTTACCCAGGTCACGTGACCCCGGGAGGGGGGTCACGTGACCTGGGGATAACCCCCGAGGTCACGTGACCCCCCGTTGGCGTCATAGCCACTTATGACGTCATCAGTGACGTCACTGATGACGTCACCGGCATCCGCATCGTCATCGTCATCATCACTGATGACGTCATCAGTGACGTCACTGATGACGTCACCGGCATCCGCATCGTCATCATCACTGATGGCGTCATCAGTTACGTCACTGATGACGTCATCGGCATCGTCACGTGGCCCCAGGTCACGTGACCCTCCCGACGTCACGTGACGCCCCAAGGTCACGTGACTCCCACAAGGTCACGTGACCCCCAAGGTCACGTGACTTCCCGCCCCCCCCGAGGTCACTTGACCCACCCCCCCCCCCCCCAGTACCCTACCCTCCTCCTCCTCAAGAGCTGCGCTCTAATTCGGCGTTACAGGGAGTTGTAAACGGCTTTCATTTTTTTGTGTGTCTCTCACTTTTGTCCGCGCTCTTGAGCGTACCAAGATAGCTTCAAACGGTGTCGTTACTTCCCCGTATTTTTTCTTCTTCAAAATATCACTTTTTTGGTAGAAGACATGGTAAAAGTGAATATAAAAATATGAGGCGTTTACAATTCTCTGTAATACCGAATTGAGCGCAGCTCTTGAGGAGGAGGAGCGAAGGGTACGGAGGGGAGTTTACCCAGAAATTCTGGGACAATTTCACGGTAAATTCTCCCGCTAAATTTAGGGCGGAATTCCCCCGCAAAATTTAATGGGCAATTTTTCTCGCTAAATTTAGCAGGAAATAATTGGCGCAGCAATTTCCTCGCTAAATTTAGCGGGAAATTTTCCCGCTAGATTTAGCAAAAATATTCGTACTAAATTTAGTGGGAAAGTTTTCCGCAAAATTTAGCAGGGAAATTTTTCTTCCAAACCGAGCGGGCAATTTTTTCCGCTAAATTTAGCGTAGAAATTACTCCGCCAATTGTTTCCGCTAAATATAGCACAAAAAATTGACCGCTAAATTTGGCAGAAAAATTTCCCCGCTAGATGTGGCGGGAAAATTTCCCGCTAAATATAGCGGGGAAAATGTTTCCGCAAAATTAAGCGGAAAAAATTGGCAAGGTGAGTTTCCTGCTAAATTTAGCGGAAAAAATTGCCAGCAACATTACGCGGGAAAATTTCCCGCTAAATATTGCAGGAAAATTTCCCCGCTGAATATAGCTCCGCTAAATTTAGGTGCCGTGTGATGTCACTCGTGACCCTCGTAACGTCACACGTGACGTCACGTGTGACCTCATTATGGGAAACGTCTTATAATGCCACGCGCGGTTCCGCCGACGGCGGCGGCGACGCCGCTCAAGCCGGAAACGGGCGCCTAGGCCTCATTCACACAGCCGGCGTTTCTTCCATCCGGCGTTTCTCCCGTCGCGAGAGGCGTTCCCGTCAGGGGAGAGGATTTTCGGCCCGGTTTTCGCCGGAAAGCTGTGCCACGCCGGGTGCCGGGCCACATAGGGAGCAGCTTTACGGCACCGGCGTCCCGGCGTCCCGGCGGATGACGGAGTCCAGCCCCCATCGAAAACCGACCATCACAAAATAGAAAAGTTTCGCTAAGTTGTGAAGATTTTTCATCGTTCGGTCGCCAACAGTGAGCCAACGCTTGTTGTGTTGTTTTTCTTGTTCCTTTTTGGCGGGAATTGCTAATAGCAGACGCAAATCCTTGATTTACAAAAAAAGAAACGTGCGCACTACTGTTCAGGCACAATTATCTCTTTATTTTGTAATTTAAGTTGAATAAATAAACAATCCGATCCAATCCAATCCTGCCGTCGCGGCCTCCGTCGCTTTGCTTGCGCGGCCTGTTCGGACACCCTGCCGTCGCGTCCCCGCCCCGGCGTGCTCCCGTGACGGTGCCGGGATGGGAGAGGCGCCGGCTGTGTGAATGAGGCCTAAGAGCTGCGCTCTAAAAAAGTGAACTCTACAATATTCGGCAGTGCTTTTAAATGCAGTAAAAACTCAAAGGTGCAGAAAGCAACGGCGTAGTCAATAAAGGGGTATTCACACGGAGCGATATCCATCCCTTTGCTCCACGGGTTTCGCATCACGTGGTAACAACGTACCGTTTTTGCGCTGAGCCGCGCTGGGACGTAGACATCCCAGAAGGATGTGGGAGCTCCTGCTCTGGCTGCACACACACTCCCCCCCCCCCCCCCTTCCCCGTCTCGACGTGGGACCTCTTTGCAATAGATCAATTGCTCTCTATTACCCAAGCATCAAGGAGAATGCAGGGATCGGTGTTCCACGCGCCACACGTGTTGGCCTCAGCAGCAGTAATTTTTCTAAAGTAAATGCCTAAAACAAAGTGCATTTTGCACGCGCGTTCGTCAACGTTTTATTTTGGTTATTTACTTCTAATCTTTTATACGGGGAAGGCATGCAAGTTTGGCACGTGGAACACCAATCCCGCATTCTCCTTGATGCTTAGGTAATAGAGCAAACGGTCTTTTGTTCACGTGTCAGGCAACTTCCCAGATTTTGCTCAGCGAGATACTGGCGGTGGCATTGGTATCGCCTAACTTCTGACTTGCACTGTTGCACATGTCGTCCGAGGCACCCGAAGGAGTCTTCGATATCCATCAATGACGTCCTAAAGCCGCTCCTCGTACAACTGGTTTTGGATTCCATGTTTTTTTGTTGTTTTTTTTTTTTTGGTTGCATCCACCCATTCAAAAAACTTCTTTCTTTTTTTTTAGTAGAAGCTTGTTTTTGCATCGAACAGCGCTGCTGCCGTAATCGCGTATCGCCGTTTCATGTCCGCCTACATCTTTTCTACTCTCGCAGCCCGCACCGAACCCATTTTTCGAGAAAGCGACCGCTCAATGGGTCTAATAATAGTGACATTCCTCTCGGCTCCCCGCCGTTCGTGTGAATTCTGGAGTCGGGGAGAGGGTCCCGCTAGTTCCGCCGATCACTGACGTCACGCACATTTCTCCCTGAAAAGCATCTCCCGTGTGAATACACCTTGAAGCACCAAAGTAGTGCCAATAGGGCGGCAAAACTCAAGTATATGGTGGCTTTAGTGACGGTGGTTCAAGAATAGGAAACACGCCACCTATTCCAAAGCAAACGTGCGTTAGCGAAGGCTCGCGCTGCGAAAGCCAGAAACCTTGGGTTCTATCCCTACCCCTGCCCGTTTGTATCCGAATAAGCATCGTACAGGCGTGCGGTCGTGTATCGCTGCTGCGGGGTGCACGTTAAAGACCGCATGCTAGCGGTTGTTACTCCACTGGCTAAATTGTTCATCTACACCTGAAACTCGAGACGCCCACTGGTGCAAACTAACTTGTAACTCGTGTATAAACATACACACAATTGTTTTTTTGTTGCTTAGTTTCATATATATAAAAATATATAGTCCTGAAAAACGAGGGTGATATAAATTGCCCTGTATATTTGCAATTCAACATCACGGCAGCACTTAGGGCCGGTTGCACCAACGCCGCTTACCTTAACCCAAAGCGGCGCTTTCCTAAGCCGGCTTAGCGCCCTAAACCGAGCTTAGGTAAGCACGGGTTTAAATTCCGGTTGCACCAACGTTAAGCCGGCTTTACAGACGCGCCCCTAGCTAAACGCTGGATTTGCGTAGGGAATCTAGGGACAAACAGAGCAAACTAGGGAACGCTCAGAGCGACGAATACGATTGGCGGAGAGGAATCACGTGATGTAAACAAAAAAAAAGAAAAAAGAAAAACTGCCGTAGTAGTCGTCGTCGGCGTCTGCTTTTCGCTGTATTTCTTCGGTGAGTAACAAATTAAAGGCCTCCAAATTCAATCATTTTTTCGTTTAACTTTCAATAACAGAAGTCAAAGCTTCAAATAAACACGAATGCTCTTTACATCTTTGATTGTGTGTTTAATATCGGTTGATAACAGGATATTTTGACAGTGGTAGTAGTTTTCGTGCTCACATTTTGAGGTGAAGGAGCCATCGGGGGCCCCAAATCTCACCGAACGCGAGAAGGACACTCTACTCGCTACATCGCTGAAGACAAAACATCATGGATATAAGTAGGCAGGTAAGATGACTACTAAAACCAAGTCAAGCCTGAGACCGATGAAGTTCAAAACAGTGACGAACTCGCCACGGCAGCTGCGAAAATGCCCGGAAATCTTCGAATAGAAGTCGTCGAGAGGTCAGGTCAAGAGTCCTTGCATCGACGGTACTCGTTGCTATCAGCAAGGTGACAGAACTGCACTGTACCGTCGTTGAACATCCGCTGCAGCCTCAAACGGACTCCAGTTTCACGCTGTCGAGTTCAGAAAAAAAAAAAAAAAAAAAAAAAACTCCCACTAGTACATTACATCGTGCCGATAAGAACGGTCGTCTCTTCGCATCACCTGCCCCAGCCTGCCCCGATACAGCAATGAACGAATCTAACATAGTAGTCGTTACGATTTGTCGTCACCACGAATGAAAGATATAAAGCAAAATATTCCTAAAAAATCGCGATCACCAAAAAAGTTACGGGGGAAACAACAAGGCGCAACTTTCAACTGAATTTTATTGAAAACGTGTTCCGGTATATAGTCTCAACCATCGTCACAATGACAGCAAACGACAAAAGTAAAGGGAAAACACCATCACAGAGCACAACTCGGAAACAACAGTATCTCGTTCTCGGGAAACGAATGAAAGGTATAAAGCAAAGTATATAAAAAAAAATGCGATCACCAATAAAGTTACAGTTATGGAACGATACAGTTTTCTGAAGCCAAGATTCTACTCGCGAGATAAGGAAAATTCACTGAAGATTGTCTCAAAACTCAGAAAACGAAAGAAATTGAATTTTCGCTGTTTTATTCCTTAAAAGCGCCGCAATCTAATGCAAACGGCAGAGGTGTCGACAATCAGCTGATCGCCGAGATCATGTACAGCCACTATTCAACGCGCTGATCAGATTTAAGGATACGCGCTGCAAGTGTAAATAAACAAGGTGGTAAATAACAATACGTTACAGCTATGCGAAAATTAGTAAGTACATACGAATAAGCTCGTTGACAGAAGAACCAACGGGAATACAGACGTGAGCCCCACAGCTCCGTACGTTTCTCGGTTAGGGCTAACACGCCCTGAAAGTGGAGAGCCAACTTGAAAACAGGGGTCGATAAACACTTCACGCGACAATATTTTGCATCCTTGTCACAATCGAAAGTCATTTTGTCGAGACTTTCACGCTGATGTAGCCTAAAACACTTTGCACAACCAATTTCGTCCACCGCGTCGACCGTGACAAACCAGCCGCCATGTTTTTAATCCAGGATTAAGAAACAACCAGAAGCAAAGCGCCCAGTGTTGGGCGCTTAAGTTAAGCGTAGTTTAGTGCTAGGTTTAGCGATAAGCGAGTTTGGTGCAACCGAACGAAACCGAAACTAAGCTTAAGTTCCCGGCTAAGCTCCGCTTTGCGCTAAGCGACGTTGGTGCAACCGGCCCTTAGAGACATAGATTTTATATATGGTGTAATTGCCAGGCGCGTACTGCAAACCACTCGGAGGTAATTGTAACTTACCTTCCACAGTAAATGAAGAAAGTAATACATCGGGGCAGTTGTAAGACGAAGATTCACAACTTGTAGAGATCTGCAAATGAAATGACACACGCTTTAATACACTAATTTAGCATATTTGTTTCTTGCGACACGCGTGCACTGCACTGCACGTGTACTCTAATAAAACGACATGGTTGCTAAAAGGGACGGATTTATTTTATAATACACAAAAATTAATGAGGCCGTTTCGTGTGTGGGCACTAATTGCGGACGCATTTGGGCACGACTCAAAATAAGGACCGTCAATAGAAATAGCTGTTTTTGTTCCGGTTAAGAGTGTCAGCCACGGCAGATGTGACGTCATCATTGTCACAAGATCGCTATAAAATCATCAAACAAACAAAGCACAAAATCTTTATAAATAGAAAACTTTACAGACATCGTCAGGAGAGTCCTAAATGTTTAGAAAATATATATAGTTCTGGAGGCTACCGAAGGTTTTCGGAGACTATGACTTTGACACAGATGCCTCGTGCATTGACACATTTGACGCTACTTGTAAGACATACACAACACATACCAAGGTGATTTAGCTCTCATTCAGACCTCCTGGGCCCGTTTGCTCGAAGCGCTAACAGCGGCTAAAGTTAGCCGCAGTACCTAGGAGAGGGATTTTAAAATCACGTGACTGGGCTCGGTAGGGATGCAGGGAAACACGGCGGCGCCGCGGTGAGTGAGCGCCGCACGCTTTGGTACTAATTTGTCGTTGTAGCTGCAATATCGGGCGCGTTAGTCAGCAACGAATGCTGCAGGCGGCTTTCGCTTTGCCTTACCACACCTAAATCGCAAGGCATGGGCAATGACCTCGCCGCATTTTTTAGATAGTCTTTCGATTCTGGCCATTCCTAAGCCTAAATGAATTGTCGCGATAATTGTCGGCATGGCAACGTCTTCGGAAAGTGGATCACCTTGACACAATCGGCCGGGTATTGATAGAACACAAAAGCAGACAGCGTCCCTATAGACCCTTTTCTAAATTTCCCAAGCACCGAGGTGCGTGCTACGAGTGTAGTTACACGCGTTGCACATGCTGGCGTCTGCAGTAGTAATAGTTGTAAGGCAAAAAGCCTAAAACAAATTTTGCCTTCCACGCGCGTTCGTCAAAGAATTATTATGATTATTTACTTCGAATCTTTTATAAGAGGAAGGCCAGCGCGCGCGGACCGTAGAATTACACTTCCAGCGTTCTCCTCGATGCTTGGGTAATTTAAAAAAAGGTCATTGGGACGCTGTCTGTTTTTCTGCGCTATCCATACCCGGCCGATTGACTCAAGGCAATCCGCTTTTCAAAGACGTTGCCATGCCGACAATTATCACTTTCATTTAGGCTTAGGAATGACCAGAATCAAAAGACTAAAAAAATGCGGCGAGGTCATTGCTCATGCTTTGCGATTTAAGTGAGGTAAAGTAAAGCGAATGCCTCCTGCACCATTCGTTGCTGACTAACGCGCCCGATATTTCAGCTACAACGACATATTAGTTCCAAAGCGAGCGGCGCTCACTCACCGGGGCACCGCCATGTTTCCCCGCATCCCTACTGAGCCCAGTCTCGTGATTTCAAAATCCCTCTCCTAGGTACAGCGGCTAACTTTAGCCGCGGTTAGCGCTTCGACCGAACGGTCCCTGATGCCTTCGCTTGGAAGCCCTTGGAAGCAAATGGCAGCGCAACATTGAAATGAGCGAGTTTTGAAGCGATGGCGGCGCAGGATTCATTCGCTTCAGACATCTGTTTTGCACGTTCGCACAACAATAATTGTCAACGCGGCGCAAGAATTTTTTTTAATCGGGTAATTCAGGTTTACTGGATTTAAATGACGATTTAAATCATACTTATTTGATTCAAATCAGAGTGGCTTGAATTAAATTACTATAGCTAAAAAATAACTATTCGTTACCACTGGATATGTTTTTAACATCGTAGATTAATTAATTAGTTTGTCTGATCACTGATAACTAAGAAAAAATAAATACTGTGAACGTACAGTTTAACGACTTCTTACTACTCCAATTATATCGCCCTGCCAAAAAGACAGCTTGCTTTTAGTTAATTGAAAAAGATTTATTTTACTTTTCTTCTTTAAGTTTGGATTTGGCTGCAATAGAACATCAACTTTCTAGTTTTATTTTCTTTTACGGTGTAATTTTCCTGCAAGAGGGCGCTACGTAACCGTCTAGCGGAGTGGAAGGTAAAATCAAATTCAACTCTGCGGTTTCCTCAGAAGTGCATTTCGTTTTGCTCGTGTTCAGCCTTATATAAATCTCTCTTACCTGACTAATCTTTGGTTCAGATATAAAAATATATTTCATAGAAAGTATAGAACAATGGACAAACGACAAACTAAAAAAAAATCTGAATTTTGTGGGAGAGGTTTGATTTAAATTATTAGCGTAAAATCGTTTGCTTTAAATCACGATTTATATCGTCAATTTTTATTCTCCACCAACATGGTGGTACCTAGAAAAAACGTGAAGCATGGATTTTATCAAGGAGCATTAGCTCTGGTGTTCAGTTGCCGCCATTTGTCGAGCTTTGACCACCTCAAAATCGTGTCACACATTTGTCTCAGCGTCCGCCGAGGTCGAAAAAATCAATCCTCAAAAAATAGTTTTAATTACTATTTTATAAACAAGTTCAGTAATAAGGTAACGTTTCCGTGATAAAATTTTTACAATAAAAATGTCCATCAGTTTATTTTAAATGTGTCTAACATTACTGGCGCACTAACATGTCAGAAATTCTTACAAATACGAAATAGCTAGAAGAAGCTCACACAATTTTAAACAGAAGAATAAAAGTAGCTTGGAAATCTAATAAACTTGAAATAACGACATGTTCCCAATGGAATGACATTCTGTACGCCACCACGGACATTAGGGAATTAGTGTGACATGATAATTGTCAACTAATCACATAAAATAATTCTACGAATTTACTCGTCGAATACTTGTCTTTCAAACGTGTCGTTCAAATTACGTATGCGTGCTTATGTGCGTGGGTATATGTTTGTGTTTTCATGCAGTGTGCGTGGGTGCGCGTTTATTTTATCCCCTAGAGATCTTTGGTCTGACTTCTTTAAAGTAACCAAGCTGATTCTGCATAAAATATTAGCCTCACTAATACAATCGCTGTCTCCTTGAAAGAAACGTTTGAAAACGGGGTCCGCAATAAAATTTTAGAACGGGAAACATTTTGTACCATGGATAATAAATTACTCACAGTGCATCTAACAATAACGTACCTTGAATAAAAATTCGTGGTAAACAGCAATACACTAACAGTATACTAATTTTGCTCTTTTATGAAACACTTTGCCAATTATGCGTTAATGTGTTTCTAGTTTACAACAATATTCTCAACATACATATATACATTTTAGTACGCACAACTTATAGTTGCCAGACTGGTCGACGCGCACTCATCAAAGTAAAAATGCGAAGTAAAATTTAAAAAAAAATATATTAAAGGCATTCTTCCAATATCGAAAGTATGCTAAACATATACATGCACACGTTAAATTATTTAAATCAACTTTTTGTAACATAAAAGCACAAAATTAGTTTTCGACTTTCGTACTGCTTTTTACCAAGGGAAGCCATGTGCAAAAGGACATACAAGCGCAAATATCAATTGTTTACTCACTCTTATGCAGTTTGGACCTTCCTGTATGTTGTAGAGGTGCACACTTTTATTCTGAAAAAAGCAAGAATTTGTAAAACATATAGCTATATCAAACTCGGTTAAGACCCGCCAATCAAGAAATTCAAGTGTTAAATTAAAAAAAAAAACTTACTCAAATTAATACTTTACTACAGCCTATTTCTTCTTCACCGAGCCCTTCTTCTGTCATCTCCAATCTTCCTTTCATTAATCCTGACATCCTCTTTTAAAATAAATCAGTTGGGAGTCAGCTTTCTTTCGCTCTACCTGTCCTTTATCTTCCTCCGTGTTCTGTGCGCTATTTTATCATGTTAAATTTGTCGTTGGAATAAAATAGAATAAATTGAGTAGAATGTTTTTATTTACTTCTAACATATACTTTTATACAAAGTAGATTATCGAGCCGGTTAGAGCCTCATGCGCTCGTGTACTTGTCTCGACTGGTGTCCAAACAAAACGTATTCCAGATTACATTGTAATTTTAAAGTGTTTACATATAAAAAGGAAGGTTCGTTCACAGACTTACGTTTGACTAACTACGACCCACTCATACAAGACCGGTTTTTGAGAGCGCCGTTCAAAGATATTCGCTTGGAATGTTTTTCACTTTACACGAGCTTAGTAGTACTTGTAGGACTCAAGTATTCTTTATTATTTCTTTTTTTTTTGTCCAGGAACAGCCGAAGTCTGAGTGCTGGTACACACGAATACACTCTTTGTACAAAAACGGAAGCACAAATACACTGAACCTAATAAAGCTGAATGCTAAGGGCATGTTTAAACGAGCGTTCACTATCGAAGATATCAACCTCCGCGCTGAGCGTATTAAAACTATTTCAAATACCCAACATGGGGAAGGTGCACAAAGGTCTTGCACATAGAACGTGTTGGGGTTGCCACTGCTCAAGCGAGGAACGGATAAAAAAAGCAGAGACACTAGTTCAGAACAACTTAATGTTTCATACAACAGCTTTGTGCAAAAATACCTCATGTCGAAAATTTCGTCAAGCTACAAATGTCTGCAAATTCATCCTGTGTAAAATTGACTCGTGACTAAAAACAATCCGGCGACCGTAATAACGGTTGTACACAATGCGTGCCAGCTTCCTCTGAACATGTTCTAACCTCTCAAGCCTGCCACACTCAAACAGTTCCAGACCACGGAGCCGAACTGAAGGTTTGAACGCACAATAGAGGTGTAAAGCCTGACAAGACACGAGGGCTCCTTGAAATCGCGGGTTATTCTCGAAAACAAACCTAAAAGTCTGAAGCATGAACTCACCAAATTTGACAAATGTCCATCAAAACTGAGGGTGGAATCTACATAAAAGCCCAGATCCCGCACACACTCCACCCGACGTAATGGTTCATTATTTATCTTATAAAAAAAAAAATTCAGAACATATTTTTTGCGCGATAAAGAAATGACCAGCGTTTTTTTTTTCCTATTTAAACGCAGTTTTGCATCTCGTACCATAACGAGATTACAGATATGTCTTTTTGCAAAAGTTTGCAATCAGCATCCGATTTGATATGTTTGTAAATCTTAATGTCATCGGCGAACTGGAGCAATTTGGAACGTTTTACACAACGACAAAGGTCATTAACAAAAATTTTAAACAGCAAAAGTTCCAAAGTTGAACCCTGGTGAACACCAGAAGGACATATGTATGATCTCGATAACCCACCACTAACACGAACTCTGTTAATGCGCCTAGTCAAGTATAACAGACATAACGGCAATGAAACTCCATATTCCGACAGTTTGTAAAGTAACAGTTCATGATGCACAAGGTCAAATGCCTTGCTCAGGTCAAAATAAATGGCGTCGACCTAACCACGGTTGGCGACGATAGGACCAACCCAACTAAAACAGTTTGCCAAGTTTGTTTCCAAGGACCTAGACTTAATGAAGCCATGTTGTGATTCGTTTAAAATTTCTTTAAAATGACTAGAAAGATGCATTTCTACTATGCTCTCAGAAAGCTTTGAAAATGACGACAGTAGTGACACAGGTCTATAGTTCTCAACATCTGAAAAAATCCCTGATTTGAAAACTGGCACTGCAACTGCTGAGTTCCATGTTTCTAGAAAAATTCAATTTTTAAGTGACAAATTAAAAATGTAAGTCGAGATAGGTACAAAAGCATCCGAACAGCTCGAACGCAATCCCATAAAAAAAAACGTTTCGATCCAGACTTCCCCTTTGGAATTGGCAATTGCTAAATAAAATTAACAGAAAGCCGACATTTTACCTATAGAAAACCCTGCGGAATGCAGAAGTCCGTGTGAAATGTACCATGAAAATTGATAAATGTGTTTTCTCTTCCATGTCGCATTGTATCCAAATTTTGTGTATTATGTTTGTTTTACACGTGCCTTTTATATTTATTGCAAACAACTGTTTCACCTGAATCGTGTAAAATTCCCCCCTCATATATGCCCCGCGTGGCGCTTGTGAGGTATCAATAAATGAAACGAAATGAAGCATTCGGGTAGTAACCAGGTTTCAATCGCTGCAATGGCGACAATAGCCGAACCATAACAATGTATGGAACTCAGTGCGTGTGCTGTGCTTTGCCAATCACAACGCATGGCTATGAATAACATTGGTGGCATATAATCGGCTCCAGATCACGTGGCCGCTTGTTCTGGCTGCGAGTTGAGGGGGTGAACGCTGCTCGTTTTTCTTTAATTTTTGTGGGACTTCTATTGCGTTTGGTGAAATACGAACGCGTATTTTATAGGTAATTGACGTCAGAGGTTCGTTATAAGTGGTATTTGTGTTAAGACGGTACAGCAATCCAGCCGGACGTAAGCCGTCACAAGAGGTTTAAAATTACAACATTTGCAAAATAAGATTAGATGTGCACTTATAGTGAAGAAAACCATGAAACGATATAAAAAACTAAAAATAGATATCTCTGCTCTAGACTTGGTAGCGTTTTTGTTTCTTAGTTTTTGCTTTGATGTTATGCATAGCAAAGAACCTGTGAGGTCATTGCAAACAGTAAATGTTTACGCAGCGGAAAAGTTACTCGTTCAGCCATGGCGACATTGTCACACGCTTTAGATGAGGAATTCGACCACTGCATTGCAACCCCTAGCTTCCGGTATTTCAAGTACTCCACGCAGTAGCGATTAGAGCTGGTACGATGGTCATCGAGATTGAAACGAGCAGAAGTGGGGATTGAACTCAAGATCCCTGGATTCTGCTGCGACTTTAGATGGTCCCTAAGAACCAGGACCACAGTACGCTACTTATCCTCCCGTTTACATACTAATATAGGTGTATTTTGTATTGTGACATGTGCCTCATTTTGTCGTCCCTGATCCTCACCTGGAGCCCTAAACTCGTCAAACACAAAGTTGGAGCCGAAAGTTCGCGGAGCGCGCTGATTGGACGTCCGCGACAAAAACGCGAAGTCATCGTCGTGGTTGTCCAATCGGAGTGCTCCGTGAATTTCGGCCCGAACTTTGTGTTTGACGGGTTTAGGGCCCCTGATCCATTCAATCACTTATATTATCAAATGTCATCACTGCATTATAAAAACAATAGGGAGTTTTAGAATAGCGCACGTTAAAGCACTGCGTACGTAAAGAATAGCGTCGTCACCACTGCGCGTGCGCCAAACGCTGACCACGTTTTGCGCTTTGCATGTGCTATTTTAGCGTATGCTATTTTTTTGGAAATTGCAAGCGTACGCAAAGGTCTTTGCGCTCCTACAAGGAGGATTCGTAATGAGAAGTTGGCTAAAGCCAAGACAAGCACAGTTAAAAAATGGCGGCTCCCAGCCCCAGGACCATGTCTGCGGCCGCTTCGGCGGCGGCGTGAATTCGCTACGTCAGCGGCATCCTCGCGACTGGGATTTTTAACACGACAGAACGGCATTGCACTCGGTTTAGCAACGATCACCGGCAACTCGATGCTTGCGACGCGCGGACATTTTTCGGCGAAGGTACGGTGTGCGAAGGTCAGTACACGAAACCTCTCTTGCCGAGGCGACGCATGCCGACATGACCGATCGACCGCTCGCGTCGCATTCTCATGTTTAAACAAAACGATACTCTGGACCAAAAAAAAAACTGCTTTTCCTCATGTTACAGCATCTCGTGTGCAAAATAAAAATTGTGACTCTATTGATGGCGTTGCAAGCACGAGATGCTTGGGCTTTTGCGTACCGGCGGAGAAACGCTATTCTAAAACTCTCTTGCGTAGCGTGCGCCAACGGAAGCGCTAAATTTAGTGCTAGCGTGCGCTAAAATTGCGTACGACGTGATTCCAAAACTCCCTAATGTTGTAACGAAGAACACGACGAGGCTGGAGGAAAGTCTTGCCCGACCATCGCGGGCGGCAGGTCCCGCGCAAACAACCTAACATTCCTAAAAAAAGAATCGCTATTAGTGTACAGCGGTAGCCGTTGGCCGAAACCTGGCAGGATCTGCAGACAAAAACTGCGTCGTCGCAGGGAGCGAAAAACGAGTTTTAGTATTGCGTATACGAGTAAACGCAAGCACGCGCGTTTGCGTTAGCATTGCGTGTTTCACACTGCACGTGCGCGGGAGTCCAACCCGTGGCTTGGAAGGGCGCATGGCGACAACGCGCATGCGCAGCGCAGACCACGCAGCTCTAAACCTAACACACAGCGCTTGCGATTGCTCCCAAACGCAGTACTAAAAGTCTCTAGTGATAGTACCACGCCAGGCTTTTGATCTTACCATCGGCGCCGCCTCACGTGTCGCTTTTGTTCGTTCGTTGGCGTTAAAAAGATTTGGAGGACAACGGCATTGCCGTCGCACAAGTACGTCAACTATACAACAAGGCGCGCTACATTTTTGTTTGTTGCTGGTTGTGTTTTTTTTACATTTATTGATTGAATGGCTCAATACAGACCTCATTCATATCAATGCAATTTTTTATATGTGTGGAGTTATGGGGGGACTTCACAAATTTACATCGATCATATTTTTTCACATTTTTACGCCCAGCAAAAGTTATTTTTGGAGTAGAATGCGAAAAGTTTCTTATGTCGGTTGCTTCCAACAGAGAAAACGTAAATTAAGTGCAAGTAATCTTTCATTGCGAAGGATCTTACTGGCAAAACTTCATTTTGGCAATGCCCGGGACCGGAAGGAGGTTTCCAAGCACAGCTGGACGCTTGAGGCACGGTAGGCCAGATGCTCACGACGAATCTCGTGAGGCATGGATTGGATGGCGCTCTCATGCGCAAATCCACGTGAACTGCTCTCCTGTGCCAACCAAAACACAGCACTGAATAATCGAGTGTACAATACCCTTTCCCACTTTGAGCTCAAGAAACAATACCTCGTTAAAAAAAATAACTGAAACAAATAAAAATAAAATTAGTGTCAACATTGACCTCGTAGAGTTTCTAGTTCATTTGTAACTATGTGCTGAATAGCTTTTCATTTATTATGGTAGATGTTGTATAGTTTAATTTTTTGTATTCCAGTGTGACCTTCGAAGTCTTGGGTTGTATAGTTATTTCCACTTCAGTGCCGAACGAATTTTTCTCTACTGTAATGTCTCGTGGTGCTGTAGGTATTCAAATAAATAAACAACAAACAAACAAAATAAATAAATAAATACAGATAAGCGCGCTCCTGTTCGACTGCCTGTAGAATGCCATCGTACCATGCTGGCATCCCAACTGGGGCCGGTGCTCTAGGTGAATTCCTTCGCGAAACTCTAAGCAGAAAAAAAAAAAGAAAAAGAAACGTATGAAGGCGGCATTACGGCACGCAAGTACGTCTGCTTTTTGCGCACCCTGTGCGATTGATTATCCTCGAGATGTGCGCATGTGCTTTTGCTCCCCCCCCCCCCCCTCCCCTTTCAAGCAAGGACGGCGCACTCGGCTGTCTCGTCACCTAGCGTTCGACGCGCGTTCTCCATAGGCTGCCTTTCGATTGGTCTGCTTCTCCTTGAGCTCATACGGGCTCTACGCGCCAAAGACGGCATTTCGGATCACTTGCCCGCCGTATACGTCTGACTCCCTCTCTACCGCTAGAAGGAAGGATGAGCGTCTTCGGAAGAATCTTACGCTTCGTGTTCCACGATGAATGTCGCATTAAGCTTGCCTTCGTAGCAGCACTCCTTGCCCATGGCTTTGCTTCCTGAAAGAGGGCGCGGATAATGACGTCACTTGTACGGTATGAACTGTCTTGTTTCGCGCGAATGCCAAAAATAACGAGCTCAAGATGCAGAGTTTAACGCGAAAGCGTTAAGGAGTTCGTGTCGCAGAAAAGCGGCGTCGGCGGCGTTGTGGCCGGAAAATCCTGATTGGACGATGGGGTCATAACGTCACAGCCACATGACCTCGCGCGAGAATAGACCGATCTCACTGAGCGTTCGGCGCATACGTGGCGCCGCCATAACTTTAGTTCGCGGGAGGCAGACGGCCGTGCATGCGAGGGCTCGTGCCGTCTCGTGCTCCACACGCGCAGGGCTCCAGCAAGGTTGTTGAACGTGCAGAAAGACTAAAGTTCCCTCGATGTATTGCGGCAGCGGTGGCGTAGTCAAACTGACTGGTGAGGTCGATCTATTTCAAACCCATGACGCTCCCGTGAAACGTGAGCCATGTAGATTATTTTAAAGCTAGCTCGAGTGGTGGGGATTATAAATCGATACAGATCTGCGTTACCAAACAATGCTAAATTTTTTGTTTTATAAATCATTATTTTTCTTCCACTTAACGTATTGCCACTCTGTTTAGGGAACATCAACATTTACCGATATTGATAAACTGTTTATGCTACAGAAGAAAGTGTTGAGATGTATATGCAGCGTGCCACGGGACTTACATGCCGCTGATTTATTTATTTAACTTTCTAATAATCACTATTCACAAGTTATATCAATATCGGCTTTGTACTAGTTATGAAGTGAAAAAAAAAAAAGAAGTACATGTCTTTGGGAAAGCCTTGCGTCGCTAAGGAAAACTTCTCCACCGTATCCTACACGTAAACCAGAGAAATGGAAGATGGTCACGCAGCGAAAAAATATGGCTCGCAAATGATAAGTTCCATACTCCCGCATTTTGTTATAGAGTCTTAGCAGCAATAACATTCATCTAGAAAGTCTAACCTCAGAGACTTGCGCTTATTATATGCTTGTACGCGATCATTTTCTCTCTCAATATTTGCAAAGGGTGCTTTTAGTTTTGTGCGCTAATTTGTTACATCGTTGCCTCAAGCACGCTAGTATGGTGCTTTTTGTGTGTCTCCCCGCGCGCTTGCTGCTGACCATTCTAGGGGCCCATGGACTCGTCAAGCTGCCTACTGCGCCTTTTTTCTTGGGCCCCACCATCATACAGAATGTAAATAAAGTATTATTATTATTATTATTTTAGCGTATAAGCTTCCCGTGACTGCCGTTACTAGGACTGTGGCCGCCAGAACCTCCCTGAGGCGGCCAAGCGAAACCTGATGAAAATACTCAACGACACCTGTCACGAGGGCAACTTTCCGGACGGGTAGAAACTGTTCTGTGTGTTGCCCAAGACTTTCCCCAAACAAGGAAAAAAACCGGACTGGGCGGGTAACCTACGTCCCATTTCGCTCACTTCCATCATGTGCAAACTGATGCAGCGCATGGCGCTCGTACGCCTCGACTGGATTGTCGAGCAGAAGAGAGAAATTTTGCACCCCGCTAAGACGGGGTTCCGCAAGAATCTGGGCACGTAGGACAGCCTGGTCCTGATTCCCGGGTACTTGACGAACCGGTCGACGCAGTGGCACCGCCAACTTCTTATGGTGGTGGACATCAGAAAGACTTTCGACACCCTGCATCACGCCACGGTCATCGATATGGCCCGCAAGCTGGGCGTGCGGAGTGGGCCCCTGAACTTCGTCAAGGCGTTCCTGAGCGGGCGCAAATACCTGGTCGAGGCCAACACGCACCGCGGCAGCGCGGAGAAGACGAACGAGACCGGCGTGCCACAGGGGGCGGTGTGGTCGCCGATGCTCGTTAGAGAGGCTCAAGAGAGGGTTGGTACCACTCGAAAACTGGACAGCGCTTACAATTTTATAGCGGCGCCTGAGAGAGAGGATTGGGAAAGAGTATGCGCCAATGTTGCCTGCACGAGAGCAGACGCCCGCTCTGTTGCAACTGTGTTGCTCCATGCGCCTTTCCCCCTCTCGCCTCCCATTGCAAGCGACGAACGCCTTGGCGCAGCCTTTCTCGCTTCCTTCTCGCTCAGGGAATTGCAAAAGTCGAGAGGAGAAAGCAGGGTTGCCAGACGAGCAGCAACGTCCAAGATGGCTGAATAACCTATCGGAACAAAACTGGTGGCTATAGAAACGTAATCATTTATACATTGCGTAGATTATTGAAGTACGTTAATAGGCTCGTATGGTCTAAGTTAGGAAATAAAACGACCCTTTGCCCCATAGACTCCCAGCAAAATTTAGCAATTAAATGGCGTCCATATCCCGTGATCCCCAATCTAGCAGTTGCACCCACCCCCACTTGAGCCTCACTAAAGGCCCGTTCACACTTGCGACCAGCGACTAGCGACTGGTTTTTAGTCGCGGAGCGACCAAAACAGGTCGGTAGCTACCCATTTTGGGCGGTCGCTCCCTGACCGATTTCTCAAGTCGCAAAACCGAGTCGCTGGACGGCGGAGTCAATCAGAGTCTCGTCGGAAGTGGTGCGCTCGTTTGTTTACATCCGGCACTGCTTCCAGCGGGAAATAGCGACGCGGTCACTGGCATGGAGTTCTGCGCGGAAGCTCTTATTAATGCTGTCAAAGTCTATTTGTTTCTTTACAATAAGCGGCACCCCAACCACAAGGATCGGGGCAAAAAGCTGCAGGCCTGGAACGAGATCGGCGACATTTTCGGCATGGTAGGTACGTACAATATCACGGTTGAGGGAGCGCACATCTAGCCGTTGTTTTACGTTCCGAAACAACATTACCATGTTGTTTTTTTGTTGTTTTTTTTTTCCTGCCGGCACCTTGGTCAGAAATACCTTTCAGCCGGCTCGAAAAGGTGTTGATTATTATCCGTTAAGTTGGCAACGAGCCTGGCGACTCGTCGGTCGCTCAATCAGGTGTGAACACTGGTGGTCGCCAGTCACTTGTCACTAGTCGCTTCAGCGACTGTCCCAAGTCGCAAGTGTGAACGGGCCCTAATGTTCTTCAGCATGGCGATGGCGCCGCTCCCGTTACGGCTGGATGTCCTTATGGACCTGGAATTCACGGTCTACGTGGACGACATCACCGCGTGAACCATAGGGAGCGGCAATGCGCCCCCTCCTGAGACGATGGTCCAACAGGCACTGGGAAGGACTGGAAGGAGTTCGGCGAGGACCTGCACTTCGATGGCTAGAAGATCGACAAGGTGGCCGACTACTCCATCAATGGGGTGAACGGTTACTTGGGTGGGGACCCGACAAGCTAGATTGAGCGGATGCGGAAACCCGACACCTGGCAAAGCGGGCCGGGTTTCTTGGAAAGAAGCTGGCGAGGACCGTCGTTCTGGTATCCAATACCTCCTACGGCTTGTGTTTCTACAAACTCAACGCAGCTCAGTGGGTCAAATGGTAAAATAGATGAACGAGGCGTGACACTGCATTTCGTGCCTGCCGAGGAGTACGCGTCTGGACCTACTGGACAAAGCCGTCCCGATGCTTTCCTTGGAGAGAAGGAGCGGAACCCGCAGCGGACATACGGCGCCTAGCTGGCGCACAACCGACCGATAGTCACCCCGGCCAACTTATTCCGAGGAGGATAAGACCAATAAACAATGCCGGCAGAAGACGCAAGTTCGCCCGACGGCACGAAAAGAGACGCGGCGGTGACGACGAACTTCTAGTGTACGTCGACGCCGCGTTCAAGGACGAATTGTTGACCACGGCGGCGTGAAATTAAGGACAAAGCAGAAGCAAGGAATTTCAGCGATGCGGATTCGCCTAGAAAATTGAAATAGAGCCGTACTCAAAGTCATCGAGGACGCTCTCGTATCATCGAGCATCGAAAATCGAAAGGGCTCGTCTTGACGGACTCGCAAGCCACCGTGAGGGCGTTGAGGACACAAGTCAGTGCACATGCCGCAGTCGGAGAGATGCAGTCGGAGATGCTGGCGCACTAAATACGTGACACGAACCCATTTTCCGTCAACGTGGGGTAAATCCTGAGAAACGGGTGAATTGACGGCAACGAGAGGGCGTACCCGGCGAAGACCGAAAAGCTTAATCGCATTGACCCGGCCGCCGCCCCTCTGTGCAGCCGCCGCCGTCTTCCTTCAACATGTACGACCCCAAAGGTGTCATCCTCAACATTAAGTCGGCGTTTAAAAACAAAGTCGAGACCAAGCTCGACGCCAGAGACGAGCTCCCCGAAGCGAGTGTTCCTTCGGAGATGATCAAGCTACGAAGGCGCAGGACCCATGACCGCATCACGCCGGCCTGCACCCAGCGATGGGCGCGAGCCACCCGCAAAAGGAAGGCTGCCGTCACCGGCGCCTACTACCGAAAAAACACAAACATGACAGGACAAAGCTTGCTCCAAGGGATGCATCTAATGCAGGAATCGCGTACAGCGTGACGAACGTCACCCTAGAGGAAACTGCCCGACCTTCGACGAAGAGAGGATGAAAGCCCTAGACGCGCTAGGGCAACGACACCGCTTCCCGTTCTTCAAAACCTGGTGTAGACCTACGTGAAACAAGGACTAGCGCGTCGCGGTCCTGTCTAGCCTCCTCGGCTACGGCGGGCCAAACCAACATGAAAAACGACGTCCGGGAATGTCCGGGAACGTCCGCGTTCCGGGACCCATTCTTTTACATAAGTTTTGCATGTTTAAACGTTTGGAAAGTTTGTGGTTGAGTGTGGATGCGCAGCCAGCTCGCTAGCGACGGGCGGAGGGGAGGTTTGAGCGGCAAAGAGAACAACGGGCATTAGCAACTCGTCCAGGATTATGAAGGCCTCAGCTCTCTTTGCGCATGGCCGAAAGAGAAGGCTATCGGGGCCGCGCTAGAGCGCGGAAGAGAAGGCAACACCAGTTAATAGCAACTACTTAATATTGATGCAAGCGTCTTTATTTCCTTAAATGCCAACTGTGCACAACATTTGTGTTAGGAAGCTGATTTTCTTAGACTAGCAAATGAATGGT